AATTAGCAGGGTGTGATGGTGCACACCTGTAATCCCAGCTACTCGGGAGGCTGAGGCAGGAGAATTGCTTGAAACCAGAGATGGAGTTTGCAGTGAGCCATGATTCTGCCATTGTACTTTAGCCTGGACAACAAGAGTGAAACTCCATAAAAGAAAGAGAGAGAGAGAGAAAAAAACCACAATATTGCATCCCTGGAGAGATTGCAGAGATTAGTGATACCATCAAGGACTTGAAAAATGCAGGGGTGGTGATTCCCGCAGCATCCCCTTTCAACTCTCCCATTTGACCTGTGCAGAAGACAGATGGATCTTGGAGAATTATAGTGGATTATTGGAAGCTTAACCAAGTGGTGACTCCAATTGCAGCTGCTGTACCACATGTGGTTTCCTTGCTTCAGCAATTTAATGCATCTCCTGGCACCTCATATGCAGCCATTGACTTGGAAAATGTCTTTTTCTCCATTCCGGTCCACATGGCCCACCAGAAGCAATTTGCATTCAGCAGGCAAGGCCAGCAATATACCTTTACTGTCCTACCTCAGGGATAGATGAGCTCTCCAGCTGTGTATCAAAATCTTATTCAAAGAGACTTTGATTGCTTGTCTCTTTTGCAAGATATAACACTGGCCCATTAAATTGATGACATTGTGCTGGTTGCATCCAGTGAGCAAGTAGTAGCAAACACAGTGGACTTGTTGGTGAGACATTTGCATGCAAGAGGATGGGCGGTACATCTGACTAAAATTCAAGGACCTTCTACCTCGGTAAAATTTCTAGGTGTCCAGTGGTGTGGGGCCTGTTGAGACATTCCTTCTAAGGTGAAGGATAAGTCGCAGCATTTAGCCGCTTCTACAACCAAGAAAGGCACAATGCCTATTTGGATTTTGGAGGCAACACATTTGTCATTTGGGTGTGTTACTCCAGTCCATTTATCAAGTGACCCAAAAGGCTGCCAGTTTTGAGTGGGATTCAGAACAGGAAAAGGCTCTGCAACAGGTCCAGGACATTGGACCCAACAGATCCAATGGTATTCGAGGTGTCAGCGGCAGATAGCAAAGCTACTTGGAGCCTTGGTCAGGCCGCCATAAGTGAATTGCAGTGGAGGCCTCTAGGATTTTGGAGCAAGGCCCTGCCATCTTCTGCAGATAACTACTCTCCTTTTGAGAGACAGCTCTTGGCCTATTACTGGGCTTTGGTGGAAACTGAACATTTGACTATGCATCTTAAAGTCACTATGCAACCTGAACTGCCTGTCATGAACTGGATGCTTTCTAACCCATTTAGCCATAAAGTGGATCATGCACAGCAGCATTCCATCATTAAATGGAAGTGGTATATACGTGATCGGGCTCGAGCAGGTCCTGAAGGCACAAGTAAGTTACATGGCGAAATGGCACAAATGTCTGTGGCCTCCACTCCTGCCACCCTGCTTTCTATCCCCCAGCCTGCAATGGAGTTCTCAGAGGGAGTTCACTATGATCAGCTGGCAGAGAAAGAGAAGACTAGGACCTGGTTCACAAATGTATCTGCACGATATGCAGGCACCACCCGAAAGTGGACTGCCGCAGCACTGCAGCCCCTTTCCAGGACATCCCTGAAGTACAGTGGTGAAGGGAAATCTTCCCAGTTGGCAGAACTTCGAGGAGTACACCTGGTTGTGCTCTTTGCATGGAGGGAGAAATCTGCAGAGGTGTGATTATATACTAATTCATAGGCTGTAGCCCATGATATGGCTGGATGATTAGGCACTTGTTGGAGGCTGAAAGAATGAGGGTCGTGACCAACTCAGTATACCACTGGAGAAAGCGGCAAATTGTTCTCCAGAATGCAAGTTGTTGGCAAGCTGACAAACTGTCTCTGCCAACAGAAGGAATGCTGAGAGCAGTCACACCCCAAGCACAGTGTTTCTTGTGATTATCCGTGGGTATATCTGAAGCCTGTTGTACAAAGAAAGCAATCACATAAGCCTGTGATATATCAAGCAGCTGGCCAACTGTTACCTCCTCCTGCCTGCTCTTTCTACCTAATAAATACGAAGGGCTGCAGAAGCTCAGGATCTTTGCTCACTAGAAGCAAGGAGCCCTCTGACCTCTTCTTTAAAACAGATCATTTTGTCTTTGTCTTCGTTTCTGTGTTCACCCTCCTTCGTTCAGTCCCATAGTAGCCAACACAAGTGGCTTCTGAATGGTGACTTACAGGGACATGAGTGAAGAAGGTCTGCTGGAGCAGAGGAAGTGAAACTGACTAGACAAACGAGAAACCCCAGGACAAGTCTGCTGGCAGCCAATATAAAGTCAGTGCCCTAAGGAGATACTGGGAGCAGGAAGTTTCTGAATCAGCATAGCATGGGGCAGAATTTTTTTACATATGTGAAAAAGGTTTTACATATGTAAAAAAGAAGTCATTATACACTTGCCATTTGTTAATTTTGGCTTTTGTTGCCTTTGCTTTTGGTGTTTTAGACATGAAGTCCTTGCCCATGCCTATGTCCTGAATGGTATTACTTGGTTTTCTTCTAGGGTTTTGATGGTTTTAGGTCTAACATTTAAGTCTCTAATCCATCTTGAATTAATTTTCGTATAAGGAGTAAGGAAAGGATCCAGTTTCAGCTTTCTGCTTATGGCTAGCCAATTTTCCCAGCACCATTTATTAAATAGGGAATCCTTTCCCCATTTCTTGTTTCTGTCAGGTTTGTCAAAGATCAGATGGCTGTAGATGTGTGGTATTATTTCTGAGGGCTCTGTTCTGTTCCATTGGTCTATATCTCTGTTTTGGTACCAGTACCATGCTGTTTTGGTTACTGTAGCCTTGTAGTATAATTTGAAGTCAGGTAGCGTGATGCCTCCAACTTTTTTCTTTTGGCTTAGGATTGTCTTGGCAATGCGGGTCCTTTTTTGGTTCCGTATGAACTTTAAAGCAGTTTTTTCCAATTCTGTGAAGAAAGTCATTGGTAGCTTGATGGGGATGGCATTGAATCTATAAATTACCTTGGGCAGTATGGCCATTTTCACAATATTGATTCTTCCTATCCATGAGCATGGTATGTTCTTCCATTTGTTTGTGTCCTCTTTTATTTCAGTGAGCAGTGGTTTGTAGTTCTCCTTGAAGAGGTCCTTTACATTTGGTCTTTTCACATAATCCCATATTTCTTGGAGCCTTTGTTCACTTCTTTTTACTCGTTTTTCTCTACACTTCTCTTCTCACTTCATTTCATCCATTTGATCTTCAATCACTGATACTCTTTCTTCTGGTTGATCGAGTTGGTTACTGAACCTTGTACATTTATCACGTAGTTCTTGTGTCATGGTTTGCATCTCTATCAGTTCTTGTATGGTCTTCTCTGCATTGATTATTCTAGTTATCCATTCATCCTTTCTTTTTTCAAGGTTTTTATTTACTCTGCGCTGGTTACGTAGTTCCTCCTTTAGCTCTGAGAAGTTGAATCGACTGAAGCCTTCTTCTCTCAACTCGTCAAAGTCATTCTCCATCCAGCTTTATTCCATTGCTGGTGATGAGCTGCATTCCTTTGGAGGGGGAGATGCACTCTGATTTTTTGAATTTCCAGCTTTTCTGCACTGCTTTTTCCCCACCTTTGTGGTTTTATATGCCTTTGGTCTTTGCTGATGGTGATGTACTGATGGGGTTTTGGTGTAGGTGTCCTTTCTGTTTGTTAGTTTTCCTTCTAATAGTCAGAATCCTCAGCTGCAGGTCTGTTGGAGTTCGCTTGAGGTCCACTCCAGACCCCGTTTGCCTGGGTATCAACAGCAGAGGCTGCAGAAGATAGAATATTGCTGAACAGCGAGTGTTGCTGTCTGATTCTTGCTCTGGAAGCTTTGTCTCAGAGGTGTACCCAGCTGTGTGAGGTGTGAGGTGTCAGACTGCACCTAGTGGGGGATGTCTTCCAGTTGAGCTATCAGGGGTCAGGGACCCACTTGAGCAGGCAGTCTGTCAATTCTCAGATCTCAATCTCTGTCCTGGGAGAACCGCTGCTCTCTTCAAAGCTCAGTTGAAAATGCAGAAATCACCCATCTTCTGTGTCGCTCATGCTGGGAGCTGGCGGCTGGAGCTGTTCCTATTTGGCCATCTTGGGCACCCCTGGAACTGGAGACTATTATTCTAAGTGGAGTAACTCAGGAATGGAAAACAAAACATGGTGTGTTCTCACTCATAAGTGGGAGATAAGCTATGAGAATCCAAAGGCATAACAATGATACAGTGGACTTTGGGGACTTAGGGAAAAGGATAGGAGGGAGGTGAGGGATAAAAGACTACTCATTGGATGGAGTGTACACTGCTTGGGTGATGAGTGCACCACATCTCAAGAATCACCACTAAAGAACTTACATATGGAACCAAACAACACTTGTTCCCCAAAAACCTACTAAAATAAAACAACAAATTTTAAAAATAATTTAAAAAGGGAAATCACTAAAACTCTTAAAAACACAGATAAAGAAGTAAAGAAATAAATAAAAAAAAGATGAGAACCTCTTCTACTATAGAGAGAACCAAGTGAAGAAGTGAAGAAGCAAGAATCCCGACAAGCCTTCACAGACTGTCCTGTCACTTTAGGTGATCATCACCCATAGAGTTTGATTTTGATGAACAGTAAATTCAAACATTAAAAGAAATACATGAATAAAATCAGAAAAAAATGGCCTAAGGACCCTCAAAGATAGTAATGAGCCCTCTATGGGATGGGTACAATTCAGTGACAACAGGTATTATCTCAAAAGAAGTGTGCAGAGTGAAAGAAGCCTCAACCAATGGGAAGATAATGTTTGATACCACTGATACATTCCAGAAAATAGGAATTTTTTGGAACAGTAGTGAAACAGTAGTGACAGAGGCAGATCTGTGGCTGCCCAGGAGGGCACTGGGGGAGGGAGGGAGGGAGAGGTCAAGGGTCATGAGGAGCCACTGGGGTTGGTCACAGGTTGTATAGCTCCTGGGAGTAGTGATGTTTTCAAGGGACCAGAAAAATGTTAAAATTTGTCTAATTTCCTATTATAAATATGAGTGGTTTATTAGATGTGCATTATTCCTATATGGGAAAAGTTTACTTAGAATAGGCTGGAGAGAAAGGAAGCATAGGGATTCACACTGAGGAGCAGGGGGAGGAAGACACCGCTCTGGAAACTCATGGAAATGGGAAAAGGAGGATGATGGAGACACAGGTTTCCCATCAGAGGTGGGTCTGTGATGACACAGCTGGACCTGCCACCTCAGCCCAGGACTTCAGTGCAGACACCCTGTGTCCCAAGTTGCAGGGAGCACAATGTTCTGTTTCCTGGACACCCTGCTCATGACTCTGAGGAATGAAGGGGAGGAGGAGCATCCACTCTCAGGCAGGGCCCTGGATGCCCCTGGACCCATGAGAGAAGCTATAGCAGCAGAAGCCACAGGCCAGACCTGAGCAGCAGCTGCCGGGGGCTCACCCTCCTGGCAGAGGAGGAAGGGGGTTCTTGTCTCACTTCCACCTGGGCCTGGAGCACCGTGTGAGCACTCAGGCTGTTATCCCATGCTTCGCAGTAATAATGGGCCTCATCCTCAGACCGGAGACCAGTGATGGTCAGGGAGGCTGAGGTACCAGACTTGGAGCCAGAGAATCTGTCAGGGACCCCTGAGGGCCGCTGATTATTATTATAGATGAGGAGTTTGGGGGCTGTTCCTGAGAGCTGCTGGTACCAGTGTACACCATTACCTCTGATGTTGGAGCTGCTTCCAGAGCAAGAGATGGTGACACTCTGCCCGGGGGCCCCAGACGCTGAGGGTGGCTGAGTCAGCACAGACTGGGCCCAGGACCCTGGAAGTGAGAGAGACACAGACGTGGTGATTGACAGGAGATGAAAGGAGAAAAGAGGAGACAGCAGGGCCCTGTGGGCTTCTCAGGGCCCCTCTCCTGGTCCGAATCCTGTCACCTGCACAGTGAGTGAGGAGGGTGAGGACAAGAGGGAACCACGCCATGCTGGAGATTGTCCTGAGTCCTGCCTTCTGTACCCACAGTTGAAGCTGAGCTTCCCCCAAATCTCTCCCTCTCTTCATACTCTGAGAGGGGGAGAGTCCATCCATGCAAATCAGACCCCCCAGGTTTGTGACCCCACCCTGAGCCCTGCGTCAGGTTCCTTGGCTTGAGGATGGGATGTCAGAGGGTGGCAGGGGTGGAGTTGTGTGGTCCCAGAGGGTGGGGAGAACACAGTTGTGAGCCCTGAGCAGAGGACAACAGGTAAAACTGGTGGCTGGTACCACTCTTAGCAACCCACCTTCTCAGGAATGGTTCTCAAGCGCCCCCTGGTGTCCAGACCAAGGTAAAGTATTCTATGATAAGGTGACCAGAGCCTCTCATTTACACCACTGCCTTCCCTCTGTTCTGTCCACTGCCCCCTCTCTCAGGTCCAGGCCCAGTAAGGTGGCGCTTGTGTCTCCTTGCTGTGACCTCATGGCGGTCTTCACGCTCTACTGGACTCCTCAGGAGTGAATCTGTCCGTGGATCTTTGGCTGTACGTTGTAGAGGACTCAGGTCATGTCTACACAGAGTACTCTTTTGTCAGGATCAAGCCCAGAGCAGGCACCGGCCCCATGGACTCACTTCCCCACCTGTGTAGGACACCGGGTCCTCTCCTCTCATGTGGCTCCTTCCTGGTGGCCAGAGCTCTGCTTCCTCTGTGGATCCTGCAGCGCTGAGGAGAAAGGGAGCTCTTCCCTCTCGGATGCCCTGGGGAGACATTCCCAGAGGGTGTTTCTGGTAAATCTTTGTTCTCTCTCTACTTCCCCAGATTTGCAGTCATAGTCATCTGGATACTGTGACCAGGGATCTTGCCTAGGAGTCTGTACTCAAAGCACTGAATACTCATCTGCAGCAGATCCTGGCAAATGACTCTGGAGTGTTTCACTTACGAGCAAAAAGTGCGAAGATGCTCAGTCTTTGAAGATGGGAGGAATTAAAACTTCAACTTGGTTTAACCAGCGTCTGTCCTCAGGTGAGCCTGATACGTAGCAGTTCTTCCTATTGAGCCTCCAATCTGGATTTCTAGGGGAAAATTGTAGTTCAAATTCAGTAGTGAGTGTGGTGGGGGTGGCTTAAAGATGATAGAAGTTGTTCATCTTTGATCTGTAATGACATCTAGAATCTAATAAACTGAAAACAACAAGCTTAACAAAAAACATAATTCTGTTGATCAAAATGAAAAATGAAACAGGTGATGTCTGTGACTGCATGAGTTCTGGCATGATACACTCTGGGATCGTAATAAATATTTGTTTAGGGAATTTTAAGGGGATACAGAAAAACAGCAGGATGGTTATGTTAATATAAGTTGCAATACAGTAAGATTTTAAATGCTCCATTTAAACAATGCAATAGTGAAACCTAATACTGACATTTAAATAAAACGAGTCCATATATGGAACTGAAATAAAAGGTATGCTGTGCTTTGGGATCGCATTTCAAGGGTGTTGTTATTTTAAATGTTCCTTTTTGTGTAAGCCATGTTCCCTTACATAATTTTTATGGTTTTAAAAATGTGTTTGTTGTGTTTACATAACACATCAGATATATTAAGTTTTATTTATTTCCAAGTAGAAACGAACTATTAGATCTGGGCTTCGCTTCCTGTTTTCTTCTCATTGCTTTTTCTTTAGTGATGCACAGATGGTCACAGTGAATTTTGTTCTCCTTTCCTCCCACTTTAATGAACAGGGGGTCACGGAGGCTGAGCACTGTCTCACATACAGGACAAGGCTGCCCATGGCGTCCTCCCTGCCCACGGATGTGCTTCCTGATGGATGCCCCATCAGCTCTTAGGCTGAAGACAGAGAGAAGAACAGGTGCACAGCTAAGGAACCCGGACACCCAGAGGTTCTGGGAGGAAGGGGCAACTGCTGGGACAGTGAGCTCTGGACTGAGGACACTGACTATGGATTTTTTTTAATGTGATCCTCCTCAGGAGCCCTCAGAGACAGAGACCCCCAGTCCCTGTGTGTCTTGATGGCCCAGGTCATTCCAGGTCCTCCTTTTGTCACTGCTCTAGGCTCCAGGCCTCCTCCTCCTATGAGTTACAATGGACAGTCTCCTCTTCAGGCTGCACCCTCCTTACCACATCTGACCCCACACCCATCTCCTCATTTCCCCATAAACCATCCCCTGCTCACTTCCATTAGCATTTTGGCATCATTCTGTTATCACAGCCTCCCCAAGGATGTCACTGCAGGATATCCATGTTGCAAAGAGCTCAGCCCCTTGACAGGACAGCTAGGCCTGGCCCACCCAAGGCTGAGCATCTCTCTTGCTTCTTTTCTACACCAGCTCTAGGCCAAGCCATATCTAGAGCTTTCAGAACGCTGAGCCAATGTTTTCTTAAGCATCAGACTTCCTGTCTCACATCTGTGGGTCCCACAGGCTGGATTCTCCTTTTATGTCATCACTCCCAGAGTTTCAGAGCTCAGGCAATGGCCAGCATACCTGCACCAGAAGGAGGGCACACCTGTGGGACCAGGTTGAAGGGTCCTAGATTTCTAGGTCTCACTGGCTGGATTCTTTCTTTTTCTTTTCTTTCTATTTTTATTTTTATCTATCTATCTATCTATCTATCTATCTATCTATCTATCTATCTATCTATTTGAGAAGGAGTCTCTCTCTGTTGCCCAGGCTGGAATGCGGTGTCATGATCTTGACTTACCGCAACCTCCGCCTTACGTGTTCAAGTGATTCTCCTGCCTCAGTCTTTTGAGTAGCTGGGATTATAGGGGCCAGCCACCACACCCCACTAATTTTTGTATTTTTAGTAGAAATGAGGTTTCACCATGTTGCACAGGGTGCTCTCGAACTCCTGACCTCAGGTGATCCACCCGCCTTGGCCTCCCAAGGTGATGGGATTACAGACATGAGCCGCCGTGCCCAGCCAGGCTGGATTCTTTCTTGTCATTTCCACCTCATCCCCACCCACCATGTGTGGGCAGCTTATTTTGCTTCTTGAAACAAACTGATTCTCTGTCCATTGGGGAGATCAGTAAGAAAAGGAGTTATTGTCACTGAACTGTTGCTCCACTTTCAGTAACATAACCGACAGCAGAAGCCTTGGCATGAACTGGTGTTGGTCACAGGCAGGGATAAAGGAGGGACGGGCAGAGAGGATGAGTGGGGCAGATCTTCTCTCACTTCTCCATGGGACAGGAACCCTTGGTAACACAGAGTCAGGGTGCAGCTGTGTGACACTGATAACCAGCCTGTCCTCAGACTGGAGCCCAGAGGTGGTCGAGGAGGCTGTGTGAATAAACCCAGAGCCGGAGAATCAGCCTGGGACCCCTGAATCACCATCACTGCTGTCCGCGGTCATAAACTTAGGGGCTGTCTCTGGGAGGCCTCTGTAGCCGTTTCCATGAGAATGCCAGTGTTTCAGCTGCTCCCCATGCAGAAAAAGGAGACCTTGAGATGGGGACTCCACAGAGTTTCCCAGGAAGGAGTCACTTGAAGCAAATATTGGGCAGTTTCTGTACCAGGATATTCCACAGACTCACCACTAGACCCTGATTCAGTGAGAAGCTGCAATGGTGTAAGAGAGGAGAAGAGAACACAGTCAGGCCCTGAGGGATCAGGAAACCCACCCTCAGCAGTTCCCGTGGTCCTGAGTGGAATGAGCTGCAGGAAAGTCATATCCCTGGGACCTACTTTCCCCGTGGACAAGGAGCAGCCTCAGCCTCGTCTCAGCCATGGCGGAGCCTCCCCTTGACTCTCTCATGTCCTGCACAGAACTTTACTGGCCCCAGGTCTGCAGTTACCCTCAGACCTAACCCCATCTCCTGGCATTTCCACTGAAAGGCAGGTGCCCAGGACTGAGCCAGATCAGCTCTGTATCCGGAATTCCTCCCTGACCTGCGTCCTCAGGCAGCATTTCATATTTGAGTGACTTGTTCCTGGGACACGGTGAGCCTCAGACAGCCCTGAGAACAGACTACTGGGGATGGAAGGGGAGGTCTCTGCTTGTACGCTGGAAGAGCAGAGTCCATGCTGCAGGGGACTGTTCACCTGCTACCATGTCCCCAGGCTCTGACCATGCTGTGAGCTTGGAAAGCCTCATTTTGCTTCTTTCAAAACAAAAGTCCAGCTCCACAGGTACTGATGTTAGCAGCACACATGGACACGCAGCCAACGCTTCAGGGTCATCAGGTGGTTTCCTTTTGTTCTGTTTTTGTTTTACTGAGACATCAGAAAAATGGATGGGAAATTGACAGAAGAGCCTTTAACAACTAGAAAGTACATCCAAATGTAGTTTGTGCCTAGGCCAGTTATTTTAAAATTTAAAAATTGTTACAGAGCAAGACCCAGAGCAGGGTGAGATTTTGTCCCACTTCCCCATCTGTGTGTGTCACTGTGAGGACCGCTGCTGTGCCTAATGGCACAGTAATAGTCAGCCTCATCCTCAGACTGGAGCCCAGAGATGCGTAAAATCCCTGTGTTGGCTGAAGCATCTTTGGATCCAGAGAAGCGGCTGGGGACTCCGGAGCCCTGGCCCTTATCTGAGTCTGATTTGTACCTCAGAAGATACCGGGGAGGACTCCCTGGCTTCTGCTGGTACCAGTGTATGTAGTAGCCAGCAACATTGATGCCACCGCTGAAGGTGCATGTGAGACTGGCTGATGCTCCAGGAGATGCTGAGAGGGAGGCCGGCTGAGTCAGCACAGGCTGGGAGAGGGAACCTGCAAACACAGACATTATTGGGTGCTAAGGCAGAAACCAGGGTCAAGTTTTTCAGGGATCTTTGCCAGAAGAGTGAGAATCAGGCTGAGGTGCTGGCCCTTGTCTCTGAGGTCTTTCTGTACCTGTGCAGTGAGAGAGGAGCAGGAGGAGGAGAGGAGTCCAGGCCATGGTGGACACAGCCTCTTTCCCTGCAGTGGGACTGGGCTGCCCCAGGCCTCCTTTTCTTCCCACCCTCTGCAGAGGAGGGGCTGCTCATGCAAATGTGTTTCCACCCAGGGACTGCCCAGCCCCTCCCTCAGCCCTGGGGATGCAGCTCAGTTCACTCTGCAGACTGAGCAGGAGGAAGGTTTGCTTTTTGTTTTGCAAGGCCCTGGGAGGAAGCACCTGTTGAGACCATACACAGGTCCCTGCTCAGGGATCTCTGCCAGGCCAGAGGGGACACAGCGGTCAAGTGCCGTCAGTGAGCACAGGGCCCAGCTCCCAGGCCTGGATTTCTTTGATTGAATGGTCCTTACTGAGCAGCCGTGTAGGAACCACAGGGCAGCCACACAACATTCGATGTTGGTACCAGGACACTCACTTTCCCATGGCTCAGGGACCTCAGAACCCCGCTGGTCTCTGTAGCTCTCCAGTCACCGTCTGTATTCACATATGCATGGTCTGATTCCTAGACATTGCTTCTCTCATCCTATTCATTATTACTGTGATTTCTCACTCCCAGAAGCAATCTTGGTCTGTGGGATGTGTAAACCTGTACATATATAACTTTTAAAGGTGTCAGCACTCCAAAAGGGCATTTTAGGAAAATCTATTTACCCACATGTGCCATCAGAGTGGGCATCATGGAAAATGGGTCAGCTAAGGAGTCAGGTGGAAGGGCAGCTAGGGGCTGCTCAAAAAGACAGTGAATAATGAAAATTTTCCAGGAAAAATAAAGGATCCAAAATATGTTAAAGGCAGCAATTCAGCAAAAGTTTTATTTACAACTGTTTCATACATAATAGGTGATCAATAAACAATAAGGAAAAACAGAGATCTTTATTAGTGCATGTGCCTGAGACAGACTCAGCTGGATTCTGTCCCTGCTTGCCCTGGCCTATCATGACTCTGTTCCCAGGGCAGCCTGTTCCAGAAATCAAGGACTTTCTGATTCTTCTGAGGCAGTCTGACAATGCTGTGGCTAAGGGCTCTCTCTGAAGTCTGGCCCTGAGAAAACAAAGCAGCATTCTCTAGATCACTGTCCCTAATCTGAGCCCCGGACCCTGGTTAGCAACAGCACCAGCAAACACGCACACAAATGGTAAACAGCCCTGCTGTCCTGGTTGCATGTGGTGCTGCAGTTAAATCATGCTCCTAGGAGACCTGACATGTTCCTGTCTCACTCCCCCAGACCGCAGCACAAACAGTGCCTCCAGGGGGCTGTCTGAAGCCAACAGTTGAGATCAGTGTTGTCCTCAGCCTGAAGCTCAGAGATGCTTGGGAAGGCCTCCTTGCCAAACTGGTAGCCTGAGCATCCATCCTGGATCCCTGCAGGCAGATATTTGCTTCTATAAACCAGAGGTTTGGAGGCCCTTTCTTGTCGTTGTTGGTACCAGGACACAATTCCAAGAACCTTTTTGCTGCTGCTTCCAGGAGATGGTGACTGGTTTCATCACAGACAGACTGTGCAGGCTACCAAGTGAGCCCCGACTGCCCAGGACCCTGAGAGTCAGGAGAGAGACACAGGATGTGGGAGGTGGTTCCATGAGCCAGGGGAGCAAGACAGAGCCCTGGTCCTTCCAGTGCCAGTCCCTGCCTTCTGTCCCTAACCACCTGTGCAGAGACTGAGGAGGGAGAGGAGGAGGGGTCTACTTCATGGTAGAGATGTCTCTAGAGCTCTGCTTCCTGAGCCACACAGATTAGGCAGAACAGCCCCTCTTCCGTGGCATCTTTTAGAGGAAAGGGCTGAATGCAAATCTATGCTGATCTCTGGCTGTACTCCTCACAAAGGATGCTGAGTCTGGTTGTCCTCCTTGAGGAGAGGTGAGTGGGAGGTAGGAGAGCGTGGTCAGTGACTCTCAAGACACCCTGGGAGGACACAGCTGCTGCAGGACCCCGGGACCACTAACCATCAACAGGCAGCAGGTGTCTGGTGTCCCAGCTGAGTCTAGCCGTGAACTCACTTCCCAGGCTGCACAGAAACCCAAGGGTCTCTCTTCCTATTTAATTCCTCGCTAGATCAGCACATAAGACGGAGCGGTGGGCGTTGGGGAGAATTGATTAGCATATTTGTGTGGTTCACTGGATTCACTGGAAATACCGAGAAGCCCAGGAAGGAGAAGGAGGAGGAACCGGCTGAGGTGAAAAAAGAGAATCAGCCAAAACTTCAGGCTTCTTCAAAACTAAGAGTATCAGAGAAGTTCAGAAAGAGAACATAAATATGAATGTCAACTGTCACGGACAGATCTAGAAAAATGCAATGAGTTTTCTGTTATAAAACCCTTGATAATTAGCTCAGGAAGTCAGAGGGGAGAAGTGGTGGTAGGAACAGGAGAGAGACCCAAGAAGGGAATTCAGGAATCAGAGATGCGGAAGGGGAGCGTAAGGATGGGCTACACTATAGAAAAGAATGCAAGAGAAGCCAGTGAGAATGTTGGACGGGAGCCAGAGGGGAGGTCAGCTTTGTTGTTTGTTTGCTTTTGTTTTTGTTTGTAAAGAAAGGGGAGCCTCTCCCAGCTTTGCTGCTGTCCTCCCTGTTCATCTCCCTCCACGGAGTGTGGGTGCTTCTATCATCCAACCTCATTCATTCCCTGTCAGAGATTTTCCTTAAGCTCTTGTCTGCCAAGGGTTCTCTTTATTTTATACTGTTCTTATGGACTTATTATTATTATTATTATTATTACTAGCAACAAGATTTCACTCTGCCACCCAGGCTGGAGTGCAGTGTCATGATCATGACTCACTGGAGCTTTTAACTCCTGGGCTAAAGCTCTTCTCCCGCCTCAGCCTCCTTAGTATGTAGGACTACAAGCCTATAGCACAATACCCAGCTAATTCCTTTTTCATGTTAAAAAAATACAACCATAGAGAAAAGATCTTGCTCTGTTGACCTTGGCTGGTCTCAAACTCCTGGCCTCAAGTAATCTTCCTGCCTCAGCCTCCCAAAGTGCTAGGATTACACACGTGAGCCTCTGCTCCTGGCTGGACTTGTTACTATTGAAACATATATGTGGATTTTCTGTGGCAGGCACATTTTGGAAATGCAGAGACTGCATCAGCAATTCATACTCATTCAATCAGAAACTGTATTTTGTAAGATCCCCGGGTAATTTGTATGCACAATAAAATTTGAGATGTACTGTTCCAACACATGCATGAAGACATTGAAATAGTTTTGCATATAAATTGTTCCTGGTACCGAATCTATTATGCTCCAGCAAACATGAGCTGGAAACCCTTGTTTCTCTAGGTTGTGTGTTGTGAAGTCAGGCATAATGTACTCTAGGCTTTGCATGGAAAATTGCAGGCATTTTCCCTAACTGCACTAAATCTACAGAAATAACCAGGCATGTTTTAATAATAACACAATATCACATCTTTGTCTGAAAATCTAACAATTGGAATTTCCTATATAACTGTATTTTTTTATTGGTACTCAAATCAAAATAAAATTAACAAACCTGTACATTGTGCACATGTACCCTGGAACTTAAAGTATAATAAAAAATTTTTAAAAATTAAAAATGATCCAAATATTTTATCCTTTTGAAGAATTAACCTTAAAAGATGTGTAAAATCAGGGGAAAAAAAGCACAAGGTTTGATCACCTCTGTGGAAATATCGAGAACAATAATGAAAGAATGCTTCCAAATGAAGTAATGTACTTATGTTGATTGTTTGCGATGAGATAGCTTTGCAGTGAACTTGGCAGTTTTTAATATTCTTATTTTATATAATAGGCATGTATTTCTTTGAAAGTAACGCAATAAAACAAACTTGGGTAATATACAAAAAGAATAGTTTCTTGTCTTTGCTCTTAGCTCAGAAAGCCCATACTTTGAAGAAGCTTCTTTCTGGAAGAAATATATTTAGGCTCAACCTTTAGATCTGATCTAGCTGTTAGTGTTCCTTTTGGAATAGAAAACAAATAACTTTCCTTTTTTTTTTTTTTTCTGGATCCAGTAGCTCCCAAATCATTCTCACATTTCCTGCACTTCAGGGCTTAAGCAGAAATAGGAATCAATTCATACCTTTCCCTTCCCCTATGACTGGTCCACATGTAAGCTGCTTTGAGAGCTGGTATGTCTGATCATGTGATCTCCACATCACAAGGGCCTAGGGAGGTTTATGTCTTGGTTCCTCTTATGAGTCTGTCACTGTGCTGAGCACCACTATAGTACAGCGAGCAGTAATACTCAGCCTCGTCCTCCGGCTGTGCACCGGACAGTGTCAGGGCAGCTTTGCCCCCAGCGAGGGAGCCTGAGAACCGGGCAGGGGTCCAGGAGTATTTGCTGTTTGTACTGTAAATCAATGCCCTGGGGGCTTGTCCAGGTTTCTGCTGGAACCAGCTTGGATAGTTACTACTGGTGACTGCTCCAGTGCTGGAAGCACAGGTGAGAGTGACTGTCCCTCCTGGGGACACAGTCATTGAGGGCTCCTGAGTCACTACAGCCTGAGAATTGGACCCTGAAACAGAAAAACAGACACATGTTAGAAATTAGAATGGGAGAAAAAGGGATCCCTCCAAAGGCTGGTATTTGAAATCTCTCTTAACCTGGGCAGCAAGTGAGGAGGAGCCAGAGTCCAGCCGGATGTGCATGATTGAGGGATCCTGGCTCCAGAGCTGGGGCTGGATTCTGATGCTTTATCCTCCTATGAGCTCTTTGCTGGACGGGGTGTGTTTGTGCTGCTGTATGGCAAATCTTTCTGCCTTTATCACACCTAGGTCACAGCCCTGAGCAGCAAGCACGCCTATTAAGGGGCCAGCCCAGGGTGGCTGCTGTGCTGTGGATTTGCCCGTGGGAGGAAGGCAGCTGCTCTAAACATTTACGTGAGTCAGTGAGCAACTGTGCAGGGGGTTCGATTCAGTTTGGGGACTCTCTTGAAGCCCCTACAATCCCAAAAGACCCCGACCGCCCCCTGGTGCTTTCCTGGGACTGAGAATTGCATTGTCGTTTCCCTTGTATAACAAATAACTATTTGATTCTATCTTTGGACATCGCCACAATATTTTCCAGGTCAATTCACACCCATTACTTGTCTATTCTTTGCTCATTCCTATTTGTTCTACTTTCTCTTGCTGTTGCTGAAATCCTGCCCCTGTGACTAGTTCGATTTTAGTGCTATGTGGTGTTGTTATCTGAATGGTTTGAATGACTAAACAATTGTTTTAATGACATAACTGACTTTTTGAAACTATTCGTGTTGAGCATTATATTAAATGAACAGCTGGTTTAAGTGAGAATATTTTAAATAATTTACTTTGGAGAATTTTTAAAAAGAAAATGACCAAAGATGGAAGGTTGGAGTTTCATTGTCAATTCAGTGGAAACTCAAGGGAGTCATGAGGATGATCATCAAGGTCTACATAACAACCCCACTCTCACCCACCCCATCACTCAAAAGTCCTCTGGACACCAAGCCTGGGTGAGCTTTGCTGGCTGGCAATGCTTCCTACATAGAATCACACATTGTTGCCAGCAGAATGCAACATTGCCTGTTACTCCACTGGGAGAGGAAAACTGGATGCTTGTGCTTGGAATTCTCCTGAACTCTGCCCATGTGCCTCTTCCCTTGAGTTATTTTAATCTGTATTATTTTGCTGTAGAAACATTATATTAATGAATGTCACAGTTTTCAGTGAGTTATGTGAGTCCTTCCAGGGAATCATAAGAAGCGAAGGGCTGTTGGGAGCCCTTATCTTACAATCAGCTTCAGAACTGAGAGTGCTCTTGGGAATCTTCAGACCTCTCAGGTTCCAATCTCACATTATTCTTTTTTTAACTTCAAAACAAGGTTTATTTGGGAAGAGTTTCTCATTTTGTCAAAGCTGCAAGCAAGCTTCTTTCACAATTACACTTCTAGAGATCTAGTAGTTTCAGAGATGTCAGTGTTCAAAGATATGTTTTAAAATCAATAACAAAACCAAACCCACACCAAAAGACAATCACTTTTTGATTGGTTTGGAAGGGACAGCCACTGATTTCAGGTGTTCTCAGAAACAGGCTCACCACTTCCTTGGAAAACGTATAGCAGGGAATCAGTGCCCACAGAAGGAAATGTCTTTAAATATGTTAGTTATTTGGACAAGACAATTCACTCCTTAGAAAATGAAGTAAGATTAAAAAGTCCCAGGTGGCAAAGTATGCTGCACGGCACCAGTTTTACAGAGGGATTACGAGGTCTTGGATTCAGTAGCTGTTAGCTTATGACACACAAAATAAGAGCAGTCACTGGAAGTGGAAGGAGAATGATGATGAGCAGGGCATCTCTCCTAGTCTCATTCAGCCTTTTAACTTGTTAAATGGATACACTATGTTCTGTAGCATCTTTGAGAAAACATCTGAGACAGTTCAAAAAGAACAGCAACAGAAGCCATTCAGTATCATTCCCCAGAAAGTCCATATTTGAAAAGAAGGAGGGACCTATTCAGGGTTCCCATGGAGGACTGTGCCTCCCATCCACTTCTGTCTCCAGGAGATACAAGACGTCAGCAGGAATGTGCTCTAGCACAGCATCCCAGCCCATGTCACTCATAGAGGAGTAAGTGAGATCCTTTGGAAGACACTTGCAGCACAGTCCAAAGTTAATGCAAACCACGCAGCTGTTTTCCTGGGAGATGGCTGGAAATCAATCACCCTCAAAAATAACTTTTTAAGCAACATCTTAATTGACACAATTTTTATAAAATATTATTTTATTATGCAGAATCTCTTTAGGCTCTTCTATGCTTTATCCAAAATGTCTTTTTCCTCAAAATGCAAATAATTCTTGTACTTTATCAAACCCTTATTTTTGTAACTATCAGGCAATAACTAGGCTGTCTTTGTATCTTCAGGAAGATTAATATAAATCCCATGATATCTCCCTGTCCATAGCTGGAAGGTTATATTTGTCTGTGGACTGGTGAAACTTGGTTCCTTTTTGCTCTGCCAAAAATAGCTAAATTTATCATGACCTAAGGGAAATGGATGTTTACCTCAGGGCTGAGACCACCGCAGTCTGGCAGCAGTGTCTGGTGACAACTCATTTATGTTGATTTCAAAGTACCAGGTCCATTTCTGTGTCCCATGAGAGGCCTGCATCCTAGAGTAGCCCTTCTTTCCAACCACAGTCAGCCAGTTGGCCATTGGAGATCTTTACCTGGGGAGCTCAATCATGTTAGCCTAATAAAGCTGGTTGATAGAAGCGGTCACTGTAGAGGTCTCCAGGAATAAGTTCTCCTGCCTGGAAGTCTTCAACCTTCTGAGGACCAAGGGTGTGTGGATCAGGCTCAGTCAGAATATACCAGTAGCCATCCTTGTGAAATGGGTATTTTAAAAGGTGTAAGGGGCAAGGCACTGAGCAGAAAACAAAGGGTCACTCTGGGTCTTCTTGGTGTTCCCTGAGATTTCATCCTGCTGTTTGTGCCGAGCTCCTCCTCTTTTCTGCTGCTTCCTGTTGAGTTCCCCCATTCCAGTTTCCACTCATAGACAGGGCACTGCTTTGCGTTTGGTTGCCGTAAACAGGATCAGTGTTACCAAGGTCCTGACCCAAAAGTCCACATCTTAGGCAATCATGTTTCAGGTCTTTACGCCTGAGATCCAGGTGTTTCTTTACCAAGAATAAATCTCCTTCTTTACTCATTGTTTTAACAATGTTAGTCAGCCAAGTCATTTGCCAGGTGTCTAAATGGTCATCATGCACTTCCAGTATTTATCGACAAATAGTATAATATTCATCCTGTGTTGCGGACTGCCATTCCGGGTTGACCAAAGCACTAAGGGACATTTCCTTCATGTTTGCTTGCTTCTGGATGAAATACACCACTATGATGACATGCATTACAATGAAAACTGTAGCATACATTGCAATGAAAACTGTGATTGGTCATAAAAGGTAGAGAGGCTGATGTATATTTGCCAGATATATCAACTATGAACCATTTTCATAGGATAGCAGATGCCCCTCTCCAGCTGGAGAGGCTGCTACCACTGCCACCAGCTTCATCTCCCCTTCTTTGGCCATTGTTGCACTAGTGGCTGCTCCGGGACTGGGTCAGGCACCCACCACTACCATCATGGCCACTCCCAGACTTTATTATGTTATTTTGTGTCACCTGTAATGAGGCACTTCCAACTCTATTTGTCTGTTAGGGTGCTGTGGGGCTGGCACAAAAGGAAGGGTGCCCTGGATTCTCAGGCACACTCTCCTATTCCTGTATGTTTTTATTGTTCTTGGAGGTAGAGAAACTGCACTGAATATAAATGTTTTTCTTTTTGACTGTGGTAAATTATTTAAACACAATATACATGATTTTAACCATTTTCAAGTGTATGCCTCAGTGTCATTAAGTAAATTAACATTGTTGTATAAGCACAGTGCCACCATTCATCTCCAGGAATTTCATCTTCCCAAACCAAAACTTCACACCTGGAAAACAGCATTCTACTTCTTGTCTCTATGGATTTCACTACATTAGATACCCTATATAAGGGCAAGCAAACAACTTTTGTCCTTTTGAAACCAGCTCATTTCTGCTGGAATGATGTCTTTAGGGTTTATCTATGCCATTGCATGGGTCAGAACTCTCTTTTTAAGCCTGAGTAATATTTCCCTGTGTGTGTATACTATATCCCGTTTATCCATTAGATGACGCTTGGGCTGCCTCCACCTTTTAGCTATTGTGAATGACGCTGCTATGAACAAGGTTGTGCAATTTTCTCTTTGAGACCCTGCTTTCAACCTTTGAGGCACATTTCCAAAAGTGAAAATTCTGATAAAATGGTAATTCTGTGTTTAGTATTCTGAGGAAGTGTCATTAAGGCCACCACAGTGAATGCATCATCTTATAGCCCCTCCAGCAATGCATAACAATTATAATTTCTATACATCTTTGCTAGAACTTGTTATTTTGTATTATTTTGGTGAAGCCATCCTAATGGGTGTGGGCCCCCTGTTTTGGGTTGTTTTCTGTTTGCTTAAGTATTGAAATGTAAGAGATTTTCTTTCTTTCTTTTCTTTTCTTTTTCTTTCTTTCTTCTTTCTTTCTTTCTTTCTTTCTTTCTTTCTTTCTTTCTTTCTTTCTTTCTTTCTTCTTTCTTTCTTTCATTTTGATCTTCATTTGCCTAATGATTAGTGATGCTGAACATCTTTTCATGTGCTTATTGGCCATTTGTAGATCTTTTTTAGAATCTACTCAATACCTACTCAAGTCCCTTGGCTGTATTTAGTTCAGATTGTTTCCATTTTTGTAGTTACTGTTGAGTTGTAGGAATTCTTTCTATACCCCGTATCCCTTATCACATACAAAATTTGCAATAATCTTTACTATGGTTTGAATTTTAGATCTTTTGATAGTGTCCTTTGATACACATAACTTTTAAAATTTGACAAAATCCAATCTATCTATGTTCTTCTTTTTCTATTTTTTCTGTGCTTTTAAAGTCATATTTAAGAAATTATTTACAAACCCTATATTCTGAGGCTTCTCCCTAAGGTTTCCTTTTCAGATTTTCATAGTTTTGGTTCTTCTATTGGGTCTTTGATCCATTTCCAGATTCCAGGTGGATATCCATTTTTTTCAAGCACACTTGTGAAAAAGACTGTCCTTTTTCTGCTGAATGGTTTTGACATCCTTGCTTAAAATTATTTGACCATGTAACTAAGAGTTTCTTTATAGCCACTCAGTTCTTTTTTATTTGTTGGTGTGTCTGCCTATATGTACCACTCTGTTTTGATTAGTGTAGCTTTGTGTTATGTTTTGAAATCAGTAAGTGTGAGACCTCCAACACTGTTCCTTTACAAGATGATTTTGAATATTTAGGTTCTCTTCATATACTATATAAATCTTTGAATTAATTTTTTTCTATTCTTCCAAAAATATTGGAATTTTGATAGAGATTGCAAAGAATCTGCAGAATCCTTCTAGTTTGTATTGCTAGCTTAACAATATTGAGTTTTCCAATACATGAACAAGAGATTTCTTTCTATTTATTTATGTAGTCTTTAATTTCTTGTAGCAATGTTATGTGCTTTTCAATGTAAAGTCTTTCACCTCTTTGATTAACTTTATTGTTAAGTGTTTTACTCTTTTATTTTCATTTATTTGTTTATTTGAGGTAGTGTCTCACTCTGTTGTCCAGGCTGGAGTACAGAGGCAGGATCTTGGCTCATGGTAACCTCTGCCTCCAATCTCAAGTGATTCTTGTGCCTCAGACTCCTGAGTAGGTGGGATTGCAAGCATGTGCCACCACACGTAGCTTTTTATTTTTAATTTAATTTTTGTTTTTAGTAAAGACTGGTTTTCACCAAATTGGCTAGGCTGGACTTGAACTTCTAACCTCAGGTGATCCCTCCAACTCGGCTTCCCAAAGTGCTGGTATTACAGGCATGAGCCACTGTGCCCAGCTGTATTTTCCTCTTTCTATTGGTGGTGTAATTTGACTTGTTTTCTTCATTTTATTGGGTTGTTTCCAGTTTGCTTAAGTATTGAAATATAAGATCTTTCTCTTTCTTTCTTTCTCTTTCTTTCTTTCTTTCTCTTTCTTTCTTTCTTTCTTCCTTTCTCTTTCTTTCTTTCTTTCATTCTTTCTCTCTTTCTCTTTCTTTTTCTTTCTTTCTTTCTTTCTTTCTTTTTCTTTCTCTCTTTCTTTCATTCTTTCTCTCTCTCTCTTCCTCTTTCTTTCTTTCTTTCTTTCTTTCCTTCTTTCTTTCTTTCTTTCTCTTTCTTTCTTTCATTTGTTCGTTCTTTCTTTCCTCTCTCTCTCTCTCTTTCTTTCCTTTGTAGAGAGAGGGTCTTGCTTTGTTGCCTAGACTAGTCTTGAATTCCTGACCCCAAGCAAACCTCCTACCTCAGCCTCTCCAAGTGCTAAGATTATATACTTGTGTCACCATGCCCAGTCATGAGATAATTTTACATGGTGATTTTTGTATTCTGAAACATTACCGAATACATTCAATCATTCTGACAAAGTTTGCTTTTGTGGGAATTTAAGGTTATTCTACATATGACATTAAATCAAATGAAAGCACAGATAATTTTACTTTTTATTTCTAATTTTTATTCTGTTTATTTCTTTCTCTTGCCTAATTACTCTGCCTTTTCCTCCAATACTGTTTTTAATAGAAGCTGTGAAAATGTGCATTGTTGCTTTGTTGCTGATAGATATTACAGAAATATATCTTTGATCTTTCAGATTGCATATGATGTTAGTTGTAGGTTTTTCGTAGATGGCCTTTACTATGTTGAGGTAGTTTCCTTCTACTCATAGATTGTTGAGTGTTTTTACCATGAAAAGGTGTGGAGCTTTGTGAAATGATTTTCTGTAGCCAGGGTCTTACTGCATTACACCTGGAAAAGCCACTCTGCTTCACACCCACCCCTACCTCCTCCACTATATGCCTGGTGTTAGAGAGGAATAAATACGTTGTGTTTTCCAGGGAAAAAGGGTCAGTCCATCAGAAATATAGCAGTGCTCACCTGTGTAAGGGGATGGGGAAGGAGGAGAGGCCCTCATAAGTAGAACTGTGGACACTGCTCAAAGCCCTAATAGTTGTTACACCTCTATAGATGTTGATGGAGATGGAGCTACCCCTGTCACCCTGGACCCAGACATGGGCTGAGGGTCCAGGGAAAACAGAGGCATGGACCAGAATCAGAAGCAGTAAGGTGAGGGGACTAGGATCAGACTCCTGTGAGTAGCTTGGGGTGACTGTTACAGCAAGTGCCCCATTTGTCCCAGAGTTGGTGGCAGTGTTGATGAGTCTCTCAAAGAAGCCAGTTTCTCGCTCACTCTGACCCTCTGCTGCTGATGGCCCCTCTTCCTGTAGATTGATCATGAATGGCTCCTTCATAACTCCCAAATTTAGGAGATCAGCTAGACTTCTATGGGTGGCCCTAGAGTATCCATTAATGTGTTTTAGTTGAAAAGAAAGGGTGTGCAATGGTTTCTTCATACAAATCAGCTCCCTCTTCTTGTCTGTCAGCCCCTTCATAGAACCTCAGTCCAGAGAGTCACTGGAATACATTTCCCAGGTGGGGTGGAGAAGGCCAGGTTGGCTGAATCTGGTTCCCTGTGAGGACACAGCTGCTGAGTCTGGTGAGCAGATGATACAGGGTCACAGGAGGATGGTTTCTCAGTTGTTCTTACCTGTAGATGCCTCAAGGACAAGCCTACAGCACCCGGTGCTGCCCCAGTCCTAGACCTGCTGAGCCCTTCAGTTTCTCTCTGCCTTTGTCTTTTTCTTCTGCACCAAAGATATGACTGTGAGGGCCCTTGTTAAGCTGCATTTGTACTCTTTGCTCTGCACAGAATTCCTGTACCAGTTCATATCTTTCTGGTCCATGCTGCTATTTTTAGTAAAGTCCTGGGCTCTTAGTCTAACTGAAGGAGATTCTCAGATAGACATCAGAGCAGAGAGCCCAGTGTGGAGAAGGGAAGCCACCAGAAATGCAGGCCTGTGGCCAGAGATGCCTCCTTCTTCCCCACTCAAGAGTGTGGCCCCTTTTCAGACTCCCAAGTCCTGTCCTGGAAGATCTGGGCTCTCAGGGTGGATCTCTGCCTGCTCTCAGCCCACTCACCTTCGGCATCAAAAGGACCCTGGAGTTTAGTGTGTCACTGGACAGAGGGAGAACCAGGCTGAGCTCTTCTATTTCTTACTTATTTACACCTGGCTTAAGCCACACTGTATGGGAACCGAGTAGTCCCCTTGCATCTGGTTTTGAAAGGCTTATGAGGTCCCTCCTCCAGAACTCTGGCTGCAGCAACCCCAGCAGAAGTCCTGAGTCTGCACACTTGAAGAATAATAGAAAGAAGAATTAGGGAAGTGAGTAGGCATTATTGGTTGGGAATCTCATATCGTGTATTTAGTGCTAACTGACGTGCTTTCTGGAGGGTAGCTGTGTTAGAGAAGCTCTGTCTTTGAGAGTCATCTCATAGAACTGGCGTCAGTAAGAGGAGGCCAGCCCCAATGCTGCCTCTTACAGACCTTGAACCCTGGGAGGAGTTGGTAGATAATCTACAGGGCACCCAGGTAAGTTTGTATTTCAAATGAAAAATATTGTGTGGGAGATACTAACACATACTAATTCTTTGTCACTGCTTTACTGAATTCAAATTTAACCGACCTCCAGTGTTTTTTTATTTGATAAATTGCAGAATCCTACCTCCAGGCCACAAGCACAACCTCTCTAACAAGGGCCTACTGCATGAAAAGCAATCATAAAGCGGTTGTCAGGATTCAATGAGGTCACACTCTCAGGAATTAAAAAGCTATTAGTCAGTAGTAAGGTTGCAGTTGTAGTAAATCTCTATACAACCTATAAAAACCTCTAGGATACAGCAAAGGAAGTGCTAAGAGAAAAGTTTACCATTAAATACTGACATTGAAAATCCAGAAAGTGCACAAACAGACATCTAAAGTCACACCTCGTGGAACTGAAGGATCAAGAACAATGCAAACCCAAACTCAGAAAAAGAAAAGAAATAACAAAGATTAACCCAGAACTAAATAAAACTGAAACAAAAAACAATACAAAAGATAATATGCACATAAATTGAAAAACCTAGAGAAAATGGACAAATATCTGCATATATACAACCTTCTTAGATTAAACCTGGAAAATATAGAAACTCTGAACAAACCAAAAAGACGCAGTGAGATCGAAATAATAATTTTAAAAAGTCAACCCCCCAAAAAAGTACAGGACCACACAGATTCACATTTGAATTCTATCAGACATTGAAAGAAGATTTCATACCAAGTCTATGACAGTAATTGTGATGGTTAATATTAAGTGTCAACTTTGTTGGATCGAAGGATATAAAGTATTGATCCTGGGTGTGTCTGTGGGGGTTTTGCCAAAGAGATTAACATTTGAATCAATGAGATGGGAAAGGCACACCCGCCATTAATCTGGGTGTGCACAAGCTAATCAGCTGCCAGCACGGCTAGAATATAAGCAGACAGAAAAATGTGAAAGAGACACTGGCTTAGTCTCTCAGCCTACATCATTCTCCTGTGCTGGATGCTTCCTGCCCTTGAACATCAGATTCCAGTTTCTTCAGTTTTGGAACGTGGATTGGCTCTCCTGTTCCTCAGCCTGCAGACGGCCTCTTGTGTGACTTGTGATCACGTGAGCTAATACTTAATAAACTCATAGATACACACACACACACATATATATATATACCAATGGTTCTGTCCCCATGGAGAATACTGACTAACACACTAGTCCACAGGATGGAGAAATAGGGAATCCTTCCTAAATTATTCTATGAAGCCAGTGTCACCCTGAAACCAAAATGAGGTAAGGACGTAATGAAACAAGAAAACTACAGACCAATATCCCTGATGAACAAAGATGCAAAAATCCTAAACAAAATACTTGCTAAGTGAATCCAATGGCTATCAAATCACAGTGCACCATGATGAAGTGGGTTTCTTACCAAGGATGCAGGGATGGGTTAACATACAAAGTCAATAAATGTAATATACCACATAACTAGAATTAAAAACAAAAATCACATGATTATTTCAATAGATGCAGAAAAAGTACTTGAAAAAATCCAGCGTCACTTCATGATTAAAACCCTCTGCAAAACTGGCATAGAAGAGACATAACTTATGCTAATGAAACTTCTCTATTACAAACCCACAGCCAACATTACACAGAGCAGAAAAAAGTTAAAAGCATTTCTTCTCAGAACTGGAACAAGACAAGAGTGTCCACTTCCACCACTTCTGTTCAACATGGTACTGGAAGTCTTAGCCAGAGCAATCAGACAAGAGAAAGAAATTAAGGGCATCCAAATTGGCAAAGAGGAAGTCAAACTGTCACTGTTTGCTTATAATATGATCGTATACCTAGAAAACCTTAAAGACTCATCCAAAAAGCTCTGAGAACTGGTGAACGAATTCAGCAATATTTCAGGATACAAAATTAAGGTACACAAATCAGCAGCTCTGCTATACAACAACAGCGACCAAGCTGAGAATCAAATCAAGAACCCAACCCCTTTTCCAAATAGCTGCAAAGAAATAAAAATACTAACCAAGGAGATGAAAGACCTCTACAAAGAAAAGTACAAAACACTGCTGAAAGAAATCATAGATGACACAAACAAATAAAAACACATCCCATGCTCATGAATGAGTAGAATCAATATTGTGAAAATCATCATACTACCAAAAGCAATCTACAAATTCAATGCAATTCCCATCAAAATACCAACATCATTTATCACAGAACCAGAAAAAACAATCCTAAAATTCATATGGAGCCAAATAAGAGCCTGCATAGCCAAAGCAAGACTAAGAAAAAACCAAACAAACAACAACAACAACAACAAACAACAAATCCAGAGGCATCAGATTACCCAACTTCAAACTATACTCTAGGACACCGTGTTCAACAAACGGTGCTGAGATAACTGGCAAGCCACATGTAGAAGAATAAAACGAGATCCTCATCTCTCCTCTTATACAAAAATCAACTCAAGATGAATCAAATAATTCAATCTAAGGCCTGAAACCCTAAAAATTCTAGAAGGTAACATTGGAAAAACCCTTCTAGACATTGGTTTAGGCAAAGACTTCATGACCAAGGTCCCAAAAGCAAATGCAACAAAAACAAAGATAAATAGATGGGACTTAATTAAACTAAAAAGCTTCTGCACAGCAAAAGAAATAATCAGCACAGTTTACAGACAACCCACAGTGTGGAAGAAAATCTTCACAATCTATACATCGAACAAAAGACTAATGTCTAGAATCTACAAAGAACTCAAACAAATTATCAAGAAAAAACTAAACCATCTCACCACAAAGTAGGCTAAGGACATAAATAAACAATTCTTAAAAGAAGATATATGAATGGCCAACAGACATAAAGAAAAATGCTCAGCATCACTAATGATCAGGGAAATGCCAATTAAAACCACAATATAAAACCACCAGAATACCGCAAGAATGGCCAATAATAGATGTTGGCATGGATGTGGTGAAAATAAAACACTTTTACACTGTTGGTGGGAATGTAAACTACTACAACCACTATGGAAAACAGGGTGGAAATTCCTTAAGGTACTAAAAATAGATGTACCCTTTGCTCCAGCAATCTCACGACTAGGCATGTACCCAGAGAAAAAGAAATCATTGTACAAAAAAGATACTTGCACATGCATGTTTATAGCAGCACAATTTGCAATTGCAAGGACATGGAACCAGCCCAAATGCCCATAAATCAACAAGTGGATAAAGGAAATGGTATATATATGCATATCATGGAATACTACACAGCCATGAAAAGGAACAAAATAATGGCATTCACAGCAACCTGGATGGAACTGGAAACTATTCTAAGTGCAGTAACTCAGGAATTAAAAACAAAACATGGTATGTTCTCACTCGTAAGTGGGAGATAAGCTATGAGAACACAAAGGCATAACAATGATACAATGGACTTTTGGGGACTGGGAGGAAATGGTAGAAGGTGGGTGAGGGAAAAAAGACTACTCCCCGGGTCCACTGTACAGTGCTTGGGTGATGAGTGCACCAAAATCTCAGAAATCACAACTAAAGAACTTATTTATGTAACCAAACACTACCGGCTCCCTAAAAACCTATTAAAATAAAAAATAATTAATAATTAAAGAGAAAAAACACTAAAATCCTTAAAAACCCAAATAAATAAATAAGTAAATAAATAGTATATGAGAACCTCTTCCACTATAGAGAGAACCAGAGGCAAGAGATGAAGAAGCAAGAATCCCGACAAGCCATCACATACTCTCCTGTCACCTGAGATGAACATCACTCCAAGAGTTTCATTTTGATGGATGATAAATTCAAACTTTAATATAAATAAACAAAATCAGGAATAATCAATGTAACAGCCCTCAAAGGTAGTCATGAGCCCTCTGTGGGATGGGTGCAATTCAGCAAGCACAGGAAGAATCTCAAAAGAAGTTTACAGAGTGAATAAAAGCCAGTACAAATGGAAAGATAATGTTTGATAACACTGATACATTCCAGAAAACAGAAACGAAACAATAGTGACAGAGACAGATCTGTGGCTTCACAGGGGAGCATTGGGGAAGGGAGGGAGATGACAAAGGGCCATGAGGGGTTGCTGGGGTTGGTCACAGGTTGCATAGCTCCCTGTTGCTGGTGATGTATTCAAGGATGAGAAAAATGTCAAAATTTGTCTAATTTCCTATTATAAATCTGGGTGGTTTATTAGATGTGCATTGTTCCTACATGAAAAGAATTTTATTTAAAAAGAATGTGCTAGGGAGAAAGGAAGCACAGGGATTCACAGTAGGGAGTGGGGGGAGGAAGACACCACTCTGGAAACTCCGGGAAATGGGAAAAGGAGGATGATGGAGACACACATTCCCATCAGAGGTGAGTCCGTGATGACACAGATGGACCTGCCACCTCAGCCCAGGACCTCAGTGCAGACACCCTGTGTTTCAAGCTGCAGGGAGCAGGATGTTCTGTTTCCTGGATGCCCTGGTCCTGACTCTGAGAACTAAAAGGGAGGAGGAGCCTCCACTCTCAGGCAGGGCCCTGGATGCCTCTGGACCCATGGGGGAAGCTACAGCAGCAGAAGCCACAGGCCAGGCCTGAGCAGCAGCTGCTGGGGGCTCACCCTCCTGGCAGAGGAGGAAGGAGGTTCTTGTCTCACTTCCCCCTGGGCCTGGAGCACTGTGGGACTGCTCAGGCTGTTATCCCATGCTGCACAGTAATAATCAGCCTCATCCTCAGACTGGAGACCAGTGATGGCCAGGGAGGCTGAGGTGCCAGACTTGGAGCCAGAGAATCGGTCAGGGACCCCTGAGGGTCGCTGATTACTATAATAGATGAGGAGTTTGGGGGCCGTTCCTGGGAACTGCTGGTACCAATATACATTATTACTTCCAATGTTGGAACTGCTTCCAGAACAAGAGATGGTGACACTCTGCCCAGGGGCCCCAGACGCTGAGGGTGGTTGAGTCAGCACAGACTGGGCCCAGGATCCTGGAAGTGAGAGAGACACAGACATGGTGATTGACAAGAGACAAAAGGAGACAAGAGGAGACAGCAGGGTCCCATGGGCTTCCCAGGGACCCACTCTTGGTCCCATATCCTGTCACCTGCACAGTGAGTGAGGAGGGTGAGGATGAGAGGGAAGCAGGCCATGGTGGAGATTGTCCTGAGTCCTGTCTTCTCTAGCCACAGCTGAAGCTGAGCTTCCCCCACATCTCTCCCTGTCTTCATACTCTGAAATGGGGGAGAGTCCATGCATGCAAATCAGACCTCCCAGCTTTTTGACCCCGCCCTGAGCTCTGGGCCAGGCTCCTGGGCTTGAGGATGTCAGGGGGTGGCAGGGGTGGAGCTTTGTGCTCCCAGAGGGTGGGGAGGACACAGGACACAGCTGTCAGCCCTGAGCAGAGGACATCAGGCAGGGCAGGTGCCTGGTTCTGCTCTGATTACCCCAGTCTTCTCAGAAATGGGCCCCAAGCGCCCCCTTGTGTCCAGACTAAGGCAAACCATTCTATGATCAGGTGACCAGAGTCGCCGAGATTCACCACTGCCTCCCCCGATTCTGTCCACTGCCCCCTCTCTCAAGTCCAGGCTTAGTAAGGTGGCACCTGTGTCGCCTTCCTGTGACCTCAGGGCAGTCTTCACGTTCTACTGAACACCTCAGGAGTGAATCTGTCCATAGTTCTTTGGCTGTACTTTGTAGAGGACTCAGGTGATGTCTACACAAAGTCCTTTTATTTCAGGATCAAGCCCAGAGTGGGGACCAGCCCTGTGGACTCACTTCCCCACCTGTGTGGGACACCGGGTCCTCTCCTCTCATGTGGCTCCGTCCTGGTGGCCAGAGCTCTCCTTCCTCTGTGGATCCCACAGTTCTGAGGAGAAAGGGAGCTCTTCCCTCTAGGATGCCCTGGGGAGGGATTCTCAGAGGGTTTTTCTGGTAAATCTTTGTTCTCCCTCTACTTCCCCAGATTTGCAGTCACACTCATCTGGATACTGTGACCAGGGATCTTGCCTAGGAGTCTGTCCTCCAAGCACTGAATGCCAGTCTGTGGGGGATCTTGGCAAATGTCTTTGGAGGTTCTCACTTACGAGCAAAAACAGCAAAGATGTTCAGTCTTTGAAGATGGGAAGAATTAAAATTTTAACTTGGTTTGGTGACCAGAGTCTGTCCTCAGGTGAGCCTGATATGTGATAGCTCTTAGCATCGAGCCCCCAACTAGGATTTCCAGGGAAAAGTTATGGTTCAAATTCAGTAGTGAGTGTGGTGGGGGTGGCTTGAAGGTGATAGAAATTATTCATCTTTGATCCATAATGACATCTAGAATCTAATAAACTAAAAACAATAAGCTTAAGAAAAAAGATAATTCTGTTAATCAAAATGGAAAATGAAATAGATGATGTCTATGACTGCATGAGTTCGGCATGATACACCCTGGACTCTTAACAAATATTTGTTTGGGGAATTTTATGGGGATGTAGGAAAATAGCTGGATGGTTATGTTGATATTTACACGGTGAATGTATCACCAGGCAGTTCCTGTACAACAAGATTTTTTAAAATTTTTTTTTTTTGAGACAGAATCCTGGTCGGTTGCCCAGGCTAGAGTGCAGAGGTGCCATCTCAGCTGAATGCAACCTCCGCCTATCAGGTTCAAGCAATTCTCCTGCCTCCACCTCCCAAGTAGCTGGATTTACAGGCATATGTCACTGTGCCAGGCTAATTTTTGTATTTTCTTAGTAGAGATGGGGTTTCACCATGTTGGCCAGGCTGGTCTTGAACTCCTGACCTTGTAATCAGCTCACCTCAGACTCCCAAAGTGCTAGGATTACAGGCATCAGCCATCGCACCCGGCCACACTGAGATTTTAAATGCTCCATTTAAACAACGAAATAGTGAGATTTATTATAGGCATTTAAATAAAACCAATCCATATATGTAACTGAAATAAAGCGTATGCTGTATTTTGGGATTGCATTTCAAGGGTGTCATTATTTTAAATGTTCCTTTTTGTGATAGCCAAGATTTTTACATAATTTTTATAGTTTTTAAAATGTTTATTGTGCTTACATAACACACCAGGCATATTAAGTTTTATTTATTTCCAAGTAGAAATGAACTACTAGATCTGGGCTTCGCTTCCTGTTTCCTTCTCTTTGCTTTTTCTTTGGTGATGCATAGATGTTCACAGGGAATTTTGTTTTCCTTTCCTCCCACTGTAATGAATGGGGGTCGCCGAGGCTGAGTGGTGTCTCACATACAGGACAAGGCTGTCCATGGCCCCCTCCCTGCCCACGGATGCACTTCCTGGTGGATGCTCCATCAGCTCTTAGGCTGAGGACAGAGAGAAGAACAGCTAAGGAACCTGGACACCCAGTGGCTCCGGGAAGAAGGAGCAACTGCTGGGACAGTTAACGCTGAGCAGAGGACACTGACTATGGATTTTTTATGTGATCCTCCACAGGGACCCTCACAGAGAGACCAAAACTCCAGTCCCTATGTGTCTTCAGGGTCCTTGCTGGTCCTCCTTTTGTCACTGCTTTAGGCCCCAGGCCTCCTCCTCCTATGAGTCACAATGGACAGTCTCCTCTTCAGGCTGCACCCTCTTTACCCCATCTGACCCCACACCCATCTCCTCATTCCCCCATAAACCATCGCCTGCTCACTTCCATTAGTATTTTAGCATCATTCTGGGATCACAGCCTCCCCAGGGATGTCTCTGCAGGATATCCATGTTGCAGAGAATTCAGCCCTTTGACAGGACCACTGTGCCTGGGCCACCTAAGGCTGAGCATCTCTCTTGCTTCTCTTCTACACCAGCTCTAGGTCATGCCACCTCTCAGAATGCTGAGCCCACGTTTTCTTAAGCATCAGACTTCCTCTCTCACATTTGGGTCTCTGGGTCACACAGGCTGCATTCTCCTTTCTTGTCATCTCTCCAACAGTTTCAGTTCAGGAAATGGCCAGCATACCTGCACCAAAAGGAGGGGCCACCTTTGGGACCAGGCCAAAGGCTCCTGGACTTCTGGGTCACACAGGCTGGATTCTTTCTTGTCATCCCCACCTCATCCACACCCACCATGTGTGGGCAGCTCCTTTTGCTTCTAGAAACAAGTTGATTCTCTTTACATTGGGAGACCAGTAAAAAAAGGAGTTATTGTTTCTGAACCCTTGCTTTGCTTTCAGTAACACAAGTGACAGCAGAAGCCTTGACACGATCTGGTGTTGGTCACAGGCAGGGATAAAGGAGGGAAGGGCAGAGAGGATGAGTGGGGCAGATGTTCTCTCATTTGCCCATGGAACAGGAACCCTTGGTAACATGGAGTCAGGATGCAGCTGTGTGACAGTGATAAACAGCCTGTCCTCAGACTGGAGCCCAGGGGTTGTCCAGGAAGCTGTGTGAATAAACCCAGAGCAGGAGAATCAGGCTGGGACCCCTGAGGGACCATCACTGCTGTCCTAGGTCACAAACGGAGGTGCTCTTTCTGGGAGGGAATGCCCAGTGTTTCTGCTGCTCCCCGTGCAGTAAAAGGTGACATTGAGATGGGGGCTCCTCAAGAGTTTCCTTGGGAGGAGTCACTTGAAGGACATATTGTGCAGTTTCTGTACTGGGATATTCCACAGACTCACCACTAGACCCTGATTCAGTGAGAAGCTGCAATGGTGTAAGACAGGAGAAGAGAACACAGCCCCTGAGGGATCAGGAAACCCACCCTCAGCAGTCGCTTTCGTCCTGAGTGGGATGAGCGGCAGGAAAGTCACATCCGTGGGACCTACTTCCCCTGTGGCCAAGGAGCAGCCTCAGCCTCGTCTCAGCCATGGTGGAGCCTCCCCTTGACTCTCTCATGTCCTACCTAGAGGTTCACTGGCCTCAGGTCCACAGTTACCCTCAGACCTAACCCCATCTCCTGACATTTCCACTGAAATGCAGGTACCCAGGACTGAGCCAGGTCAGCTCTGTATCTGGAATTCCTCCCTGACCTGCGTCCTCAGGCAACATTTCATATTTGAGTGCCTTGTTCCTGGGACACAGTAAACCTCAGACAGCCCTGAGAACAGACTACTGGGGATGGAAGGGGAGGTCTCTGCTTGTACGCTGGAAGAGCAGAGTCCATGCTGCAGGGGACTGTTCACCTGCTACCATGTCCCCAGGCTCTGACCATGCTGTGAGCTAGGAAAGGCTCATTTTGCTTCTTTCAAGAAAAAAAATAGTCCAGCTCCACAGGCACTGGTGTTAGCACACATGGACACGCAGCCAGCACTTCAGGATCATCAGGTGGTTTGGTTTCACTTTGTTTTACTGAGACTTCAGAAGGATGGATGGGAAATTGAGAGAAGAGCCTTTTACAGCTAGAAAGTACATCCAAATGTAGTTTGTGCCTAGGCCGGTTATTTTAAAATTTAAAAACTGTTATGGAACAAGACCCAGATCAGGGTGAGGTTTTTGTCCCACTTCCCCATCTGTGTGTGTCACTGTGAGAAGCATTGTCATGCCAAATCATACAGTAATAGTCAGTCTCATCCTCAGGCTGGAGTCCAGAGATGAGTAAAAGCCCTGCATTGACCGAGGCATCTTTGGATCCAGAGAAGCGGCTGGGGACTCCAGAGCCCTGGTGCTTATATGAGTCTGAGTAGTAGTTCAGAAGATACCTGGGAGGGCTCTCTGGCTTCTGCTGGTACCAGTGTATATTGTAGCCACCAACACTGATGCCACTGCGCAAGGTGCAGGTGAGTCTGACTGATGCTCCAGGAGATGCTGAGAGGGAGGTTGGCTGAGTCAGCACAGGCTGGGAGAGGGAACCTGGAAACACAGGCATTTATAGGTTTTAAGGCAGAAATCAGGGTCACATGTTTTAGCGATCTTTGACAGAAGAGTCAGAGTCAGGCTGGGTGCTGGCCCTGGTCTCTGAGGCCTGTTCCTACCTGTGCAGTGAGAGAGGAGCAGGAGGAGGAGAGGAGTCCAGGCCATGGTGGACACAGCTTCTTTCCCTGCAGTGGGACTGGGCTGCCCCAGGCCTCCTTTTCTTCCCACCCTCTGCAGAGGAGGGGCTGCTCATGCAAATGTGTTTCCACCCAGGGACTGCCCAGCCCCTCCCTGAGCCCTGAGGATGCAGCTCAGTTCACTCTGCAGACTGAGCGGGAGGAAGATTTGCTTTTCTTCTTGCAAGGCCTTGGGAGGAAACACCTGTTGAGACCGTACACAGGTCCCTGCTCAGGGATCTCTGCCAGGCCAGAGGGGACACAGCTGCTGAGTCTCCATCAGTGAACACAGGGCCCAGCCCCCAGGCCTGGATTTCTCTGAGTGAATGGTCCTTACCGTGAAGCTGTGTAGGAACCACAAGGCAGTTCCAAAAGATCTGATGCTGATCCCAGAACACACACTTTCCCATGGCTCAGAGACTTCAGAACCCAGCTGGTCTCCGCAGCTCTCCAGTCAACATCTGTATTCACATATCCATGGTCGGATTCCTAGAGACTGTTTCTCTCATGCTGTGCATTATTACTGTGATTTCTCATTCCCAGAAGTACTCTTGGTCTGTGGGATACGTAGCCATATATATATATATAACTTTTAAAGCTGTCAGCACCCCGGCATGGCATTCTAGAAACATCTAATTGCCCACATGTGCCATCAGGGTGGGCATCATGAAAAAGGGGTCAGCTGAGGAGCTAGGTTGAAGGGCAGCTAGGGGTTGTTCACAAGGACAGTGAATAATGAGAATTTTCCAGGAAAAATAAATGATCCATGACATGTTAAAGGCAGCAATTTAGCAAAAGTTGTATATCTAATGGTTTCGTATGTTTTATAGAGATTTGACTCAGTTTTGTGATGTAGGAACATTCACAGATTTTGTAGACTCTCCTTTACCAGTGAGCAGCGTGACCATATTTCTCTATTTAATGAAGTTAGCCATTATCTCCCTAAGTAAAACGTCACTTTCTTCACAGTTGTGTCCTATTTTTTGGTAAACAATTTGTCCTGGATGTTATACAATTTGTTTATATCTTGATATTGCCACCTTTATTTTTTTTTACTGGATGCTTTCAGGTTATTTGAAATATCACTATTTATTTTACCTGCAAATTGCTCTGGAAAGTACTGACTGTCTCAGGAGACAAAGGCAGAGACCATCACTTCTCAATGTAGCCACGTCTACTCTTGTGCTAACTGTGCAAGTGGCCCCTGGATTTCTAGACTCACGAGGTGCTTAATGAATACTCTAGAATTAAGGATCCCTCACTATTCTCAAGCACTCTCTCCTCAAGGTATTTGGAGAGAGATCCCTTTCAGATAGATGAGGCAGGGAAGGTACTACCTGGCTTAAACCCCTTCAGTAACTCACCATTCTTGTTATAAAATCCAAATCCTGTAGCTTCTGAAACGTGCCCTTTGCACTGCGGCCCTTACTCACCCCCACAGCTCAACTCACAGCCCCTGCCCTTGCTTTTAGGGCTCCAGGCTCACTCCCTTCTCTGTCCTGGGAAACGCTGAGCTGCTGTCTTTCCCACGTTCTCCACACCAGCTTCTCCTGTGCCTGTCGGGAGAAGATGGCCTTCTATGTGAAGTCAAAGTGTAAGCTTACATTTTGTCCACATTATACACCTGTTAAAAGCAGAATAATCACAAACAAGGATATTTTAAACACTGGTTAGCATGGAAACTTTTGAGTCTTACAAATATAAAGAAAATTTTCTAATGAATTGTTTGCACCCGACAGCCAACTTTGACCATCATTAATATGGTTCATCTTGTTTAATTTTTCAACCCATTTTACCGATCAACTTTCTCTCTCCCTGGGTGATTTTTACAACAGATCAATGAAGCAGTAAAAGATAATTGGTACACAAAATAACAAATATATACATTTGAAGTGTTCCATAATCCTTGTGACTTAAAGCAACACATTCCAAGGACTCTCACATTACTTGATTTGTTTTTTAATCATTCATGTCTAACGTTAATTTACTGTAGAAATTGGGGAATGGGAGGAAATACAATGAATGCTAATATTTGCAGATGCAGGACTCACAGCATTGCATATGGGATTAGAATAAAGTCCAGATGGGCACCTACATTCCTGGTTATTTATTGGTTTTACCCAGTTCTCCTACTGGAGAAATATCTCTTCTGTGGACACACAGCACACAAACCCATCCTTCTTCCTTCAAGAATTTCCTCATCAAAGTCTATTATGGGACTTGGAACTGATGAGTTTAATATTTGAATTGTGTTGATAATATAGCTCATTGGAAGCTCTGTAATGAATATTGTGTTGAAGGATATCTAATGTAAAGCTTCTTAGTTATATAAATATTGCCAGAAATTTTCCCAACTCACCCTTATTTGCAGTTTATTTGCTCTTAAGGGATTTCTGTCTCCAGAATTTGCTTCATCATCTACTTGCTTCCTGTGGCTTTTTAAGGAGGACTGGGAAAGCCCATCACGCCCTCTCCACTTTCTCCACATGAACCCATGGGATCCAGCATCTGTGGATCCATGGGAATCAGACCATAAATGAGTGAACAGAGGCTGTGATTGGCACCTGCAGAGACCAGCTGGGATCTCAAGTCTCTGGGCCATGGGAGGTATGTGTGATATATTTGTATTTTTATATCCGTATCCTTCTCCTGCTAGCCAAAGGCAAAAGTTCTTACTTAATATCTTCTATTGAATGAACTTGGAATCTCAAACACAACATATTCAAAATAAAAAAAAAATGCTATTTTGACCTCAGATTTTTACCTCTTCCTGGGATTCCAATGCGGGTGAACTCACATATTTAGCAAACATGTATTGAGTCTGTCCTTAGTGCCAGGCAGCGTTTTGGGCTCTGTAGCTACAGCAATGGCAAGACAGAAAACAGCAACAATAATCAACCATCTCATGGAGGTTGGATCTCAGCAGGGGATACACAGAGAATAGAGTCACTAACTGTAAAGAAACATCTTCATGTGGCTGATCCCACCCTACCCAGTTAGTCATCCTGGGGATTTGAAGCCGATTGCTGATAGCTGAGAGACATGCATTTCTGTAACTCTGAAGAATGAATTGACTTGAGCAGAAGTTGATGGTTTTTTTTTTTTTTTTTTTTTTACTGTGTGTTACAAATAATCCTGCAACGACAGGATGGAGTCAATCTCCTTGGCCTCATGAATGGCTGGGATCTTACTGTAGGTCAGAAATAAAACAGAACATTCCCATCCTCAGGAAGAATTCCTAAGGACAACCAGACAACTGAGTGTGAAGAGGGAATTAGTTATCAGATAACCTCTCTCCTGCTCTCTTTGTGATGGATAAAGACCAGCAGAGATACAACAGCCCTGGAATCCTGCCATGGGAAGGAGACAAGGAAGAAGAGAGGTAAACAGAAATGTAAATAAGGATGCCCGGGTAGGAGCTGAACATCCTTCCCTCACCAAGACACAGAACCCTGCCTTTCCACTGCTCTCCAGCTGTTCAATTGACCTTTACCCCCGCACATCACTGAGGTGGTCTCAAGGACCCTGGTGCATAATGACACCCCGAGAACCTCTTGCCGATGCTAGGCCTCAGCCGTCACTGTCCGGCAACCCCAAAACAGGGCTGCACAGACTGCAAATCAGTGTGCCCCCAAATCAGTGTGCCCCCAAATCAGTTACTTCAGCACTGACACCTCCTCCTCATGGTTTCTGACAGAGCTCTGGGAGTTTTTATCGTGAGCTTTAACAGCAGCTCCTTGAGTGTGTAGGGGATCATCCCATGTGCTCTACAATACTCTGTCCCAACCCTCAGCGCTTTTGCTCAATAGAAAGTAAGCAGGACTCTGTCCAGGTTGAAAAGTGATGGTTCAAATAAATCTCATTGAATAAGAGGGAAGGGCAGTAATGAGTCCTGAGTCCTATGAGCTTTCCAGAGAGAAGAAGAATGTGACACCCTTGATCACAGCTGCAGGCTGTTGTCAGGTTTCCATCACAAGGACAAGCTCAGGGCCTCAACTAGTGACCTCTTTCCTCTAGTCCTTCTCACCATGGTGTGGGTCATGCACATTCCTCCCAGGTCAGCTGCTACATCAGATGCTAAATACCTCAATGCATGTGCAAAACGCCACTGATTTCTAACTGGACCTTTTGCCTTCACACTATCCCCTCATTTTTTATCTTCCTTGGAGAAGCTGGACTTTCCTTCTAAATCACAAACAAAAGGCTGTGTCTTCCTTGTTTACAACCCACTAATGGTGTCCTATTGTTCTCCCCCTTCTGGCCAGTGTCACCTCTTTGATACACCACAATATGCCTTACTCCCATTGACTTCTTGACCCTCCCTCTTCAGTTTGGTGTCAGCCCTGTGAAGACAGGAACCTTGTCTGTCTTGGTAACTCTCTGTCCTGAGCCCTCCCCCTAGCCTGGCACAGAGTAGGTGTTCAGGAGACAATAAGGATGATTAGACCTCTGCATCAGTGCATGTGCCTGAGACAGACCCAGCCGGAGTCTGTCCCTGCCTCCCCTGACCCATCTTGGGTCTGTCACCAGAGTAGCCTGTTCCTGGAATCAAAGGCTTTCTGATTGTTTCGAGGCAGTCTGACAATGTGCTGTTGCTAAGGCTCCCTCTGTGGGCTGACTCTGAGAGAACAAAGCTGCATTCTCTAGATCACTGTCCCTGACTTGAGTCCTGGGTGCTGGTTAGTGGCAGCACCAGGAAACATGCACACAAATGGTAAGGAGCCCAGCTGTCGTGACTGCGGGTGGTGCTGCAGGTAGCTCATACACATTGGACACCTGGTGTGCCTTTGTCTCACGTTCCCAGACTGCAGCAGTGTGGAGACCTCGATGGAGCTCTCTAAAGACAACAGGAGAGATCAGCCTTGTCCTAAGCCTGGAGCCCAGAGATGCTCAGCAATGCCTCCTTGCCAGACTGGTAGCCCGAGCTTCAGTCCTGGATCCCTGCAGGTGGATATTCGCTGCAGGATATGGATATCAATATGTGGATCTGTATAT